TGGCAAGAAGCGAAAACAGGCACAGTCAAGTGATGAAGATGATTTGAAATCTATGCAGTTAAGAAGCAGTAAACAGGTACCTTTTCCTTTCTTTCTCACATTCAAGAATGTTTGAAAATTATTGACAAGTGGAATTACACATGTGAAGATTTATATTTGGATTTTGTTAGCTTTTTATGTCACTTTTTTGTAGAATTGAGTGTTTAATCATATTAAAAGATGCTGCCTTGGTGCAGGCATTCAAAATACATGTATACTGTCATATCTGCCCAGGTTTTTTTATACTCTTACTTTTTGATTTAATGAACATAATGTTGATGTTTTCTGAGGAAATGAAACAGAAGTGCTTAAAAAAACAGCATTTAAATTAAAATTTATTCCAGAAATTTTCTTGTTGCAGGAATTTAGTAAACAGATCTCAAAAAACCTTTTTCAGGCAAAACATGGCACTAGCCAGCAGAAATTAGGAGCTTTAACCCCCTCTAAACCAAACACTCCCAAGACACCATCTAGTTCTAAGAAGTCGAAGAAGACACCTGGCAAACTTCGGACGCCAAAACTCAGTATGAATAGAGAAAACTCATCATCCATCAAAAAGGTCAGTGTCGTTGACAAATGATTCATTTCTGTAATTTGTACAGAAAATTGGGCAAAAAGAAAAAAAATGACATGCATTTATCAAAATTGCATCCCTTAATTTACGTGTAGTTTATTGTCTGATCTTTTTACAAGTTTCTAATTCCATGATGTATTTTCAGTCAAGACTTGGAGGATTGAAATTCAGCATAGGTTTTACGCCCAAGGACAAAAGCAAAGAAAATGCCAGGAGCACATCTAAGGTGGGTAATCTTGTTAAATTATTTGAGTTGCGAGGATCACAGTCGTCACAAAAAGAGTCCAAAATACCCACACCTGTCAAACACAAAAATCTCAAAACATCAACTGTTGTCAAATATTCAGAAGTGACTCCAGTGAAAAATGGTGATTCCAAAATACCAACTCCAGTGAGAAACAAAGACTCAGTTTTCACACCTGTAAAACATGGTGGCATTAAATATAAGTCACCATTGAAATTGAAAGGCAGTAAATTTCATACACCAATCAAATCCAAGCTCAGATCCCAGCTTGGATCTGCTGATCCAATCAAATTGGCTGTTACCCCAGTTAAGGTATTGGGGAGCCTTGTACAGAAAATCTCTACTCCCAAAAGATCAAACAGGGTCACACCAATGAAGGTCAATGAAAAGGAATGATGTTTGTACATTCAATAATGTATTTATTTCAAAATGGTCTGCTATTAGATTTGAGTATAATGTTCCAAAGAAATTCATGTGTAAAGGTTTGTTATTTTTATGTACTGTTAAATTGAACACTGGATTTCCTATATAGGATGGTGGTAGGCAAATACTGGGATTTATTTTCGCTTTTGTGTGTCACCTGTTTTCCTTATTGTAACAGTTAGAATTAGGGAGCCAGCGACTTTATCTCTGGTAGGTCTTATGTTAGACTCCAGATTGTGACACTTAATATTATTTTGCTAATCCTCAAGACTGATGAATGACATTTCATAAAGCAGGGCACAATTTTGTTCTCTGCATGTGTTAATCTGTACACCAAGATTTTCATCATAATAAATTACTTTAACACATGAGCAGGAATTATATAAACTTAGCAAAAATGGTCAGGAAGGTTTTTACAAAATGTTGATTAACAGTTTATGCACAAGTTTTCAGTTCTTGCCACATTCTAAACATTGTTTGTGCATGCATATTAATTGAAAATTTCTACTTAGGTTGCTAACATATAAATATGTTTAAAACAGTTTCAGTATTTAAAAAAAAAGTTTCAAGAACCAATTCATGGCAATGAAAATGAGCTAGCTATGCCAAATTAACTTTTCACTTGAAAGTATTTTTTGAATAATTAATTTATACTTGATTTCTTTTTTCTTCTTTTTCAGGCCGATAGAAAGCCCTTGAAAAGCAAAAATTGGTTTCAAATGGGACGTTAGCCAATTTCGAAGTAGCTGATCAATTTAATATCCTTGCAAGCCAGGGAAACCTTGCTTTCACTTTCATTCCTTAACACAGCTTTTCACCAGGAAAAATTTCTGTGATATTTATTCAAGGACATACATTCACTAAAAATCTGTGTTTTGAATTGTAAAGAAGAATAGTGGCATTGTTAAATTCTATTTTAAAAACTGATACTTTGAAATTATTCAGTTGAAAATGAAAGTTACAATTCTCTGTACAAAATGTAAATTACATGTATTTAGTTATGATTTTGCTTTATACTTTGTACATTGTTAGTATAAAATATGTATAAATCTTACTTTTCTCTTGTCCTGGATAAACTGTATGTTTGTATGATATGACAGTTCATTGTAACCTAGATTCTTCATAGAGTCGGGAAAGGTTGTGATGTTTTTTTTATATATGAATTTATGTGTCCTTTGTTTTACAGGTGTGTAAATGGAATCATGTTTTACTAGTCATGTAGATCTGTGTAGACATTATTTATTGTGTGTAATCATGTATGTTTGCTCAGTATCTCAGTGCTTATCTTACTTAAGGCACATGAAAAATGGCAGCAGTAAAAGAAGTAAAAATACATTGAAGTCTTTGGGTTTTTTTTACTTTTTTTTTTTGGAATAGCAGATTATTTTCTTGGGGTGATAATTTTTATTACTAAATCCTGACCACCAGCATTACATGTAGAATCATTGAGTTAATCTTCCCTTATTACCACCACCATTAGAATCATTGAGTTAATCTTCCCTTAGTAGAGGTAGCATTTAGATTTTCAAACATTTCTGTATGAATATTAATGAAAATGGAAGTGTCACCCTCAGCCTCTATAATAACCAGCTATATGTTCAGTGTTGACAAGGTTTCATCACTTCAGTAAACTGTGACAATACACAAGTAAGTGAAGCGGCTTGGACGCAGATTTGAAGCTCATATTTTCTAAAAAAAAAAAATTTCCAAATACAGTTGAACTTTGGTATCTTGAACACTGATATCTCAAATACCATGGATATGCCAAAGTGATTTAGAGGTTCCAACTACTATATTACCCCTGATATCTTGAATCCTTGGATATCTCAAAGTTTTTCTCGGTCCCATTGAGTTCGAGATAACAAAGTTTGACTGTAATATATTGACTTGTATGTTGCTAGAGCATTTCACAATGAAATATATTAAAAGCATGTTAAGAAAAGTCTTTTACCTGGATTTTCAGGACTTGTTTGATAGACACATATCCTTGCACTTTCACAAAGTAAGCTTTTATACCCATGTTAAGAAAAGTAGAAACTTTGTTATTTAAGGACCCTCTCTACACCAGTGCAAAATGTTTTTTGGACACCGAGAAAATTATACCGTATACATGTGTAAATATTAAGCTTATCTATTGAATTTTCAATATAAGGTACGTGACATTTACCCCAGGTAAAATGTTCAAAGACAGTAAAGTTTCAATAAACAGAAATCACTGTTGTTTACTTCAGTGGATAAAATATATGCAAATGAAGTGTCCAGTTAATTTATCTTAGCCTTTTAAAATATTCAGAATGCTTGAATTAATCACAGATTGAGTAATACACTGAAGAATTCAATTTATTTGAATTCAGATCTAAGGGCAGATCACTCCAACTGCAGAAAAATACCACAGAATCGGAACTCTAGTGTGCAGTGTAGAGAGGGCTCAAGAGATGAATTCAATTTTTGCGAATTCATGAGGACACGAACTACAACGCTTCACGCCGGCATATTTCATGAAGCGGCGTGAAGCATAGTTCATGTGTCTCATGAATTCTCAAAAATTAAATTCATAACTTATATTAACATTATTTTTCTAATGACTTGCCACATATTTTTGTCATTCAACGAGCATTTTTGTAAAAAAAAGTTTGCACTATTTTTTTATTTCAATCACATCACAATGGAAATATTCTTACTCATCCCACGGTAGTTCATGAGAACATGAACTTTTTCTAATTTGCAAAGATTCTTAAGGAAATATATTTGGAAATGTAAATATTGTACATTTGTAGCTTGCCCTGATGAAGTCCAGGAAACTTCAAATCTGTAAGCATACCAGTATCTTGTTTAAGTTTCTGGAGCAGATTTGTTTCCAAATTTTGATCAAAGTTGTATGGATGATGCTTTTAGTATAATGTTTCATTGTACCAGTTAGGTTTCAGATGCTGCATTTTCAGCCAATATGAATGTTTTGCAGAAGATCGACCAGGTTTATGTTTTTGGAACAGAAAGTTTTTGGAGCAGTTTAATGTTTTAGTAGTAAGGCTCATTCGAAAATAACCATAAGCACTATGATGCCTAAACTTGCATGGATGATGCCTCTAGGGATGTTTTTGAATTTTAATCAATAAATTTTTAACCCATTATTTTATAATAATATGATATGGGGCCAAAAAAAAAAATGCATAAACTAGTACCTGTCCTTGGAATGTTGGATCTGACCTACATTTTCTGGATGAGTGAACAGGTTTAAGTTAAGGAGTAGGTCCATTCCCAAGTACTATAAATCCTACCCAGACAAAAACAATACTGTAAACCAACTATTATTTGTGTCATCTAATTTATTCATGATCTGTCAGTTTGAAATCAATCCGCGGCAATTAATAAATACAAAGCAAAATTAATGGTTCATGGCAATTAATATTCGCGAATATTAAAGTACGCCGCAAAACTCGCGGATATTTCTAGCACGCAAATAAAAGTTGGTTTACAGTTCATGTATTGCATAGATGTTGCACTTCACTGGGATGCACACTATCAAAACATTTGTTTAGAGTGAAACTTCGCAACATTTATAGATGACATTTCTCAAGGAGAACTTTGTTATCTTTGATTACCTACATATGTGTTTAAACTTATAACTTTCAGACATAAAAACTTGTTGCTTTTGGATGACACTGGTTAAGTTTTGCAACTCAGTCCATCTACTTTGTCATAAAATATACAAGGTCAATATTGAACAAACAGCCATTTTATTTAAAATATTTTTGTGGTGAATTCAAATATTTCAACATGCTACCCATTAAATGACAAATAAATGTTTTAAAAAACAACACTCCAGAAATGGGATTCAATCTTCTTTAAGAGTATATACTGTGATTCTTGAAAACCTGAAAGAAAAAAAAAGATATATGTGAGGAACTACATGTACATGTATGTATCTGAAGACTTGGTATAATATTCTCTCTTTTAAATTTAGAATTGTTACAAAGTTAAAACAAGATGTGTTTGTGAAACACTGATGCCCCCGTATGGCAGCTTATGGCGAAGGTTAAAGTTTCTTCAAATGCAAGTCAAAATCCAGGCCAAAAGATAAAAAATGTTGATACCCAAAGAAAGGTCTTGTCTCGAGGAATACACCTGTGAAATTTGAAAAACCTAGATACAACTGTTCAAAAGTTATGGCGAAGGTTAAAGTTTTTTAAATAAAAGTCAAAGGTCAAAGTGGTTGATATGCAAAGTAAGACCTTGTCACAAGGATTACATATGTGAAGTATGAAAGCCCTAGCACCAACCATTCAAAAGTTATGGCCAAGGTTAAAGTTTTTCAAAAGTAGGTCAAACTCCTAGGTCAAGGTCAAAGGGTCAAAGTGGTTGGTATCCAAAGGAAGGTCTTGTCACAAGGATTACATATGTGAAGTATGAAAGCCCTAGCATCAACCATTCAAAAGTTATGGCCAAGGTTAAAGTTTTTCAAAAGTAGGTCAAACTCCTAGGTCAAGGTCAAAAGGTCAAAGTGGTGGTTGGTATCCAAAGGAAGGTCTTGTTGCAAGGATTACATATGTGAAGTATGAAAGCCCTAGCTCCATCCATTCAAAAGTTATGGCCAAGGTTAAAGTTTTTCAAAAGTAGGTCAAACTCCTAGGTCAAGGTCAAAGGGTCAAAGTGGTTGATATCCAGAGGAAGGTCTTGTCACAAGGAATACACATGTGAAGTTTGAAACCCTAAGAACCAACTGATCAAAAGTTATGGCCAAGGTTAAAGTTTTTCAAAAGTAGGTCAAACTCCAAGGTCAAGGTCAAAAGGTCAAAGTTGTTGGTATCCAAAGGAAGGCCTTGTCACAAAAAATACACATGTGAAGTTTGAAACCCCAAGCACCAACTGTTTAGAAGTTATGGCCAAGGTTAAAGTCTCATAAAATTTTGCAAAAGTGGGTCAAACTCCAAGGTCAAAAGGTCAAATATGATGGTACCCAAAGAAAGGTCTTGTCACAAGGAATACACATGTGAAATATGAAAGTCATAGCTCCAACCAATCAAAAGTTATGGGCAAGGTTAAAGTTGACAACAGACAGACAGACAAACAGATAAACAGACAAACAGACAGACAGGACAAAAACAATATACCCCCGGGATCTTTCGATCCGGGGCATAAAAAATCAATTTCAGGAAACAATACTTGGTACCAGATATCCCTCATGAGAATTATAAGTGAGATTTAATTGAAATGCTACTGAAGAATAATTTTTGTTGGGGTATAATTTTCATTATCATCATGGTATGAAGATGAATTCCAGAGATTCATGTCCACCAGGAAATGTTAAAGTTTTCATACTTCAATATCATGTAAATCTTTATAAAGTAATATTTTATCCTCAAACAACAAAAATTTGACTCCAAGAAAAGGTGATTTTACAGTATTAAACAAGAGGCCCATGGGCCACAATGCTCACCTGAATAACTTTAGCCCTGCTGTTCTTCACCTGAACCCCCCCCCCCCCCCCCCCCCGTAGTACCTATTGTGGCCCTGCCCTTTGAGCTCAGGTGAGCTAAAAAGGAACTATTAGCAATTTGAAATATCTTCACAATATTTAATTGTCTAATATGCATACTTCCACATTTTTTTTCAATGTAACAAAAATTTGATACTTATAAAAAGACAATATTTACCTGGCTTTTAAACAACTTGACGACACAGAATGGTGTAGATTGTTGACGTTTATGGCGGCTTATGTCTGGCACCTGATATCTTTCTAAAGTAATTTCACCACCAGATGAATCCGAGGTAAACTCAACTTGCTGCAAATAAATTTCAACATGTATCTCTTCAAGATCCTGAACACTGATTAAAAATGACCTTGGGTTAAGATGCTTATTTGCATCCTTGCCAAGTTGGGCATGTTTTTATAAAAAAATATAATTTTCACAAATTCTTCAACTCTTTATGCATGTACCCATACATACTGTAGATTCCTTATTTTACGCGAGTACTTAATATTACGAAATGGCCCAAGGGCGTCAAATCGTGAGAAAAATTAATTACGCGAATGGGTGATTTATCTAGATAATTTACATACATTAAAGCAACATAAAAATAAAAGTGTGTAATTTTACTTCGTGAGTGGTGCCTCTCCCGTAATTACGCAATAATTTTTTCCTCACGTATATTTAGTAATCTACAGTATATACTATCCTTACTTGAGCTAAGACAAGTTTAAAGTGTAAAGTAGTAGGCTCTTACATACTGCAGTTTGTACACATATTCAGTCTGTATCCTTTTTTTTTTTTTAACAACTTACCACCTCCAATAACCCGTAACCCCCCCCCCCCCCCCCCCCCCAACCAATATTTTTTCCTTAAACCACAAAAGTCATATATGCTCCAGAAGTCATCATATTTTTTTTGTTATTCAATCAAAATTGAAAATGATCATTTTTTCCCCTTCTTCGTAGCTGATTGATGTGTATCAAAGTAAACAAACACAAAATAGCAGTTTACCTTTAAAAAATTTAATTTTGTTTGTATTCTAGCCTCTGATTGGATAATATCCAAAAAGGAACACAAATTATTTCTGTATAACCTGGTTTGGTATGGGGACCCCCCCCCCCCCCCCCCCCCCCCCCGACAACCAGCTGAATCATTTGTATCCATACAATCCTCTCATTTCCAGTCCTCGGGATTCATGGAAAATTCCAGATTTAATAAATGTACCTTTAACTTCAAACAATAATTCGATCTTACCACATGTATACAAACAACAAGGCTGCTAGGCCTACCGTATATACTCGCCTATAAGTCGGTCCGCTTATAAGTCGGTTGTATTTTTGAAGCTTATTTTAGAGGGATAGACCTTCTATAATACCAATCTTTTTATAACTCGCCTATAAGTCGGACATGGAGTTTTGGACCAAAGTTTAACTCCCAAAAATCCGACTTATAGGCGAGTATATACGGTATGTATCAGTTTTTACCTCCCCTCGCTTCCCATCACTTCCGTTACTTCTGTTACTACGGTTGTATTATTTAGCGGCAAATTTGAACTAATAAAAAGCAATGAAATTTTACACCCATAGTTATTTAATGATTTTAAAATTAAATTATAAGGAATGACTCTAATTCTTGGCCAAATTATTCGAGTATAACCTGGTTTGGGTCAGTTTACGCTGTTTTATAATCTGCTTCGAGACATTCCTAAAAAAGTTCCGAAAGGCAGAATAACTCATTTAATATTATATAAATACTGCATGTAGTCGAGTGTAACATAGAAAATTTTCACCCCTCGAATACCATTTCAATCTGTGTTTTTTAACAAATGTTTCTCGACGGATCAGATTCAACTAATTTACATGAAAGTATAATACAAATAAATATTATCAAGAGTGGAACACTAAAACAAGAATTATGGTTTTTAAGCTAGTTGTCACCCTTGCCAGTGCCCATAACAATTTTTGATATACATGTACTTTCCTCTACCGGCCCTTTGATTCAACAAACAAACTGTTAAATTTTCATCATGTATCTTCAAAGACCTTGAATTAAAATTCATATTTTTAAACCAACGTCCTTATATGGTACACAGACTGAAAAACAGATATGATCATACATTAAATCACTTTTTATTTATGAGAACTTTATTTTTTGCGTAATTACGTGAGACTGTCTGCTCGCAAAAATTTTGTTCTCATCTTTAATTTTTTTAAACATAGCTTGTACACAGCAATAACAAGAATTCGTGAAAATTTTGTCCCGCTTAAAAGTACCAAATACTTATCTCGCGAAAATAAGATCTCATGAAAATTTGGTGATCTGCAGTACTCTTTGCATTATTTTGTACATTAATGAGTTGTTAGTTTTACCTGCTGGTTGTCATTTTCAATGTCCGAGAACCTGTCAATGTCTGACACAGACAACTCCGTATCACTAAGCTCTTCCATTGTCATCATACGTATATCTCCCCCTGTCAAAAAAAAGGAAGAAAAAATTGTAAAAATAATCAATACAATGTTTAGAAATTAAATTGCCTGAAATTGTTGAAATGTTATTTTCACCTATTAATATATCTGATGAACTAGTACGAGGAATATGCCACTTTAATTTCTAGATATTTTTAATGGAAATACCTGTATATTGTTTGAAGGATTATGGTGGCTCGCTCAACACATCAAAACTTTTTTTAAAAATAGATCTTTTAATATCTCTTTCAAAATATGATTTTTGCGATTCAGGCATTGAGACTGATAAAAGCTCTTCATTATTTTTAAGGATTTTTTTTTTTTTTTAAATTTTTCACAGAAAATTGAAAAATTGTTTTGGTTGCCAATAAAAGATTTTGGCACTAAAAATTTTATTCAGAATCAGGTAGTCTTTTATTTTATTTCAGAAAAAATTATTTATGAAAAACAGTATTTGTTAATATTTTTAAATCAATACATAAAATCTTCAAGAAGAATTTCACTTCAAGAAAAGAATTACATGTATATTAACATATTATAATATATTAACATATATATGTTTTGAATAAATTTTATAAATATGTTTATTAAATAATATTATATAAATATGCTTATTTTGAACTGTACATAAATTGGGAAATTATCTATTACAGTAAATAAACAGATCAAAATATTGAAATTTCGAGTTCTTACTAGTCCTTATGAGTTAATTTTCTCACCTGTCATGTCAATATCCACATCTTTATCCCTATGACACCTGAAATATACCCTAATCACTTGTTACAAATGTAGTTTCAAAGTCAATAAATAAGAGCAGAACAGATCTGAAATTCTTGACTTGGAAGACATGCACAATAATCTAAGACTATTAGGTGTTAACCTTGTTTCTGTTTTGTTGTTCACATCCTCTGAAGGTGACACACATGTAATTACAATACAATCTGAAGACCTCTCAGAAGGTAGTGTCCTCCCAGATGACTGCTCCTCAGGAGTCACTGAGGACATTTCCTCTGAGGACAAAGCAGTATTCAGATCCTCACATATCTGACCCTCGTGAAAACATGAAGATTTGGAACGTTCAGAAGTTATCACAGTTGAATCTGGAGATTTCTGGCATGTTGTTTTTGTCATTTTTCTTTGTGTAAAATTTTCATTGCGGACACCTCTACCTGAGGTAACATTTAAAAGCATTTTCTCAACAGATTTATGATACAAACTATTCCTAGATTTTTCAAGTTCATTTCCTTCTGATATAATGAAAGTAAAATTTTCAATTCCTGAGCAATTTTTGTCTGTACATGAAGTACAATGACTATTTCGATTTTTAGAACAGTTAATCGCTACAATATTTCCATCCTCTACACTGCATCTGAAAAACAGAATCACATACATGTAAAATTTTCAATCATAATAAGCTTCTGACAAAACATTTTATATGACCAAAAGTCTTGCATGTTCAAGTAGCTCTACTGGTTTGGAATTATTAAAAATGGGTTCCTAGAACTTATTAATATTTTGTTTAAAATCATGTTAGCAAGTCCCTTCTTTGCTATTATAACTTAAAACTTCTTTACATTATTTTTAATATAGGATACATCATATCCTTGATAATAAATGAAAAATCCTTTAAAAAAATTGTTTGGAATTGCCATCTGGGAGGTTCAGAACTTATTTTTTTTCAAAATTGATATTAAATTTAAAACTGTTGATATAAAAACACATTATTTTCAGATTTTTGTAAAAATATCTTTCAACAACCAAGAACTCTGTTTTTGCTTAGATCTGACACTAACTGTGTTTTGGTGGTGCATGTGATAACAGGCCAAGAACTGATTAAATTAAAAAAAATCTGCGTTTTTAAAGTAAGTCAAATTTTTTTTTTTTCAGCTAGAGTCATTTCAATGAGACAGGAAGCAATTCCAAACAAACAACAATTTTATTTTGGCCCAACTTCTTGAATCTAGGTTATTAAGTCTCATGCTCTTTTAAAAAAATGCCATGATAAGATGAAATCTGAAATAATGACCTTGACCTTTAAATCTTGCTTTTGAAATTGATACTGATCATCCTCCATGTAATAATCACTCAATAAGTAAAAACTCACAATTGATCAATGTAATCCCGATATCATTTGGAAATAAAAGTTACATGCAAATGTCATGGTGTCCTTGACCTTTGGCCTTGAGACCATCATATAATTTGCTTCCCAACTTGTGAACTACACACTTGATAAAATAATGCATTCAAGACTTTGCAACTGCATGGTTGAAAACCTAGGCATCAAACGTGAAATATAATATCCCACAACTTTGCAAAAGGGGTATAAAAATTGAAGAAATTTTTCAACATTTACCAATACAACAAAATCATTTTATGGAGTGAAAGCTGATACACAGAACTAAGCATTCTAATTTACTCTACATCTCTCTACCATTTTTTAATTAGTTCAAACAAAATTTTTAGTACAAGAAGCATTTTGAAATGATTTAAGGGATTCAATGCATTTAATATTTTAATAAACAGTAAAAACCATCACTGACATAAAATTTGATTTGTAGTATAATGTATCTTGCATAAGGTTTTCATCAGATCAAACAAAAACTGTTGGATAGGTACCATTTTAAAATAAACAGTGTATTCTCTATATATTTTTATGGCTTTAAACAAAAAAATCTTTTAAACAACATGTACTTGTATCAATTAACCAGTCATACTAATGCAACAACATTAAGGCCATGAAATGTAAAAATCTGTTTCCAGTTCCATTCAAGAATTCAAGATGGTCAAGCATGTCCAAAATATAATGTTTTTATATAGGTAGTTTTTTTTTTTTTATATAGCTTTTTCAGCCCAAAAGTCATATACCAGTATCTTTTTATCAAAGCAGGGTTCAACATTAATGGTAACCTGCTAGTATGGGACAACTGAAAATTGAGGTTGTGTTACTAAACAAGTCATCAAGCTTGTCCTGTGGGGCTACTGAAATTTAACTCAAAGCAATTGTTAAGATAACAGGCTTGTCCCTAAGAATAAAATAGCAGGGGACATTAACAAGAGGCCCAAGGGCCTTAACGGTCACCTGAGTACAATACAACAATTTAGAGAATCCATAAACTGATAAATGAAGCTTTGTTGCCCAAAAGCAAGAAATATAGTATGATTAGCATCAACAAAATAATTGGTCTAGTATCTATGTGTCCCCCATTTATCACTATTACTATGCAGACTACTTAACAAAATGTCTATTTTTTTAACCCCATATTATAACTTCTCACATTGGCCTCTCTTGGCCTTTGAAGAACATTTAAATAGATAAAGTTATTTTTCTCTCAATTTTATTCATTTATTATTTCCAAGCCTACCTGATCATTAAAACTGTGAAAGTAATTTGTGTATTATACAATAAATATTCTTGCATAATTCTCGTATTCTATTAACCTTTCAAATACATTGTTTACAGTGATTAATTATCAAAGCTGAATGGCAAAGGGGAATAACTTTGCTCAGCAGAATACAAGTTACTAGAGCACTGGCCAGGACCAGAATATGTACTTGACTAAATGGTCCAAGTGTTCAAAATTCTGGTAAAAATACCTTTGCATATTAAAACTTCTACTCTGTTTGCCCAGAAGCATAGAAGATTTTCAAAGAAATGCATTTTCACTATATTATTAAATAAATAAAGCCCCATCCTTACACCAGAACATCTGACCCAGGGGCCATGAACTCACAATTCTGGAAGAAGCACCCTTGCTTATCATAACTATACACTTGTTTCTTTGCTTTATAACCAGTAGTAGAAAAAAATATTTTGAAAGAAATTATGCATTTTCAATATATAATCAATAGAGCCCCCCCCCCCTTTCACCTAACCCCTGACCCAGGGGCCATGAATTTCACAGTTTGGAAGAGGCATTCTTCCTAATCATAACCATGCACTTCCTTTGTTTGAATAATACCAAGGAGCAGAGAAGTAGATTTTGAAAGAATTTATGCATTTTCCCTATATAATCAATAGAGCCCCACCCTAACACTGGAACCCTTGACCCAGGGGCCATGAAATTCAAACTTTTGGAAGAGGCAACCATGCTCATCATAACTCATCATTACTATGTACTTAGTTTATTCAATATCCAGGAGCACAGAAGAAGATTTTCAAAGAATTAATGCAATTTTACTATATAATCAATAGAGCCCCACCCAAACAACTGAACCCCTGACCCAGGAGCCATAAAATTCACAATTTATGAAAAGGCAGCCATGCTCATCATAACTTTGTTCTTAGTTAGTTTATTTAATATCCAGGAACAGAGAAGAAGATTTTCAAAGAATTGATGCATTTTCACTATATAGTCAATAGAGCCACGCCCTAACACCATAACCCCTGACCCTGGGGCCATGAATTTCACATTTTGGAAGAAGCACTCTTGCTCATCATAACTATGTACTTAGTTACTTTATTTAATACCCAGGAGCAGAGAAGAAGATTTTCAAAGAATTAATGCAATTTTACTATACAAGAGGCCCAAGGGCCTTAACAGTCACCTGAGTATAATACAACAATTTAGAGGATCCATAGACTATAAAATTAACTGAAAGGTGAAGCTTTGTTGCCTAAAAGCAAGAAAAATAGGGTGATCAGGATCAACAAAATAATTAGTCTAGTATTCATTAACAGTTCATAAATTAGGTTCTAATCTGTTCCCCATTTATCACTCTCACCATACAGTATAACAACATATATTAACAAACTATCAGTGTTTCTGTACTATTTTATTTCCTTGTTGAAATCTCTCACATTGGCCTCTCTTGGTCTTTGATGGTCATTTAATAAGACAAATTATTTTTGTCTCATTTTTATTTATCTATTACTTACAAGTCTGTCTGATCATTAAAACTATGAAATTTTGTGAACTATGAAACTATTAAATGACTTTTTGTATTATACAATAAAAATTCTTGCATACTTCTCTTATTCTATTAACCTTTCAAGTACATTATAGTGATTAATTATCAAAAGTAAATGGCAAAGGGGAATAACTCCTCTCAGTAGAATACAAATTAATAGAGCCCTGGCCAGGACCAGAACACTTGACCAAATGGTCCTGATGTTCAAAAATCTGGTAAAAATACCCTTCCTTATTAAAACTTTTACTCTTTTTGCCTCTGATATGCCCAAGTGCAGAGAAGATTTTTAAAGAAATAATGAATAAATAATAAGCATTTTTACTACAGATTCACTATATTATCAATAGAGCCCCCCCCCCCCCCCCCCCCTCCCCACCGAGAAACACCAGAGCCTCTCACCCTGGGATCAGAAGTTTGCTCATCATAAGTAATCACTTTGTTTATCTGCTTAACACTAAGGAGCAGACAGGATTATTTCATAAAATTAATGGACTTTCACTATATTATCAAGAGCCCCACCATTACACCAGCGCATCTGACCCAGGGGTCAGACTCTCACCCAGTACTGTTCTGGTCGTGGCCCATGGGTTCACTACTCTGGAAGAAGCACTCTTGCTCATCATATCTATATACTTAGCTTCTTTGCTTTTTAACCAGAAGCAGAAAAGAATATTTTCAAAGAAATTTTGCTTTTTCACTATATAATCAATAGAGCCCCCCCCCCCCCTCCCTTTTTCCCCAGAACCCTTGACCCTAGGGCCATGAAATTCACAATTTTGGAAGAGGCATCCTTGCGTATCATAACAATGTACTTAGTTTGTTTAAATAATACCCAGGGGCAGAGAAGAAGATTTTCAAAGAAATAATGCACTTTCACTATATGATCTATATAGCCCCGCCCTAGCACCAGAACCCCTGACCCAGGGGCCATCAATTTCAAAATTTTTGTAGAGTCACCCTTGCTTATCATAATTATGTATTCAATTTGCTTCAATAATACCCAGGAGTACAGAAGAAGATTTAAAAGAAGTAATGCACTTTCACTATATGATCTATATAGCCCCACCCTAGCACCAGAACCCCAGACCCTGGGGCCATGAATTTCACAATTTTGGTAGAAGGCTCAATGCTTATTACAATCATGCCAACAGTTTGACTGCTTGATGTCCAGGAGTAAAGAAGAAGATTTTTAAAGATTCCATTAATTTTGGTGGTTTAAGCCCCACCCCTAGGGCCCCAAGGGGGCAGGGGCAATGAAATTCAAAAATTTTGTTCCCTTTCACACATAGATGTCATATGCTAAAATTGGCTGAAATTGGTTTAGCGGTTTCAGAGAAGAAGCTGAAAATGTTCAAATGTTAACACACGACGGACGACGCACAACGCATGACGACGGACGAAAACAGGTAGCAATAGGTCACCTGAGTGACTCAGGTGACCTAACAAGAGGCCCATGGGCCACATCGCTCACCTGAGTAACTTTGGCCATGCTGTTCTTTACCAGATTTCCCCCCTTTTAATATACCTATTGTGGCCCTGCCCTACCCACGAGGGTCGTGATTTGAACAATGGATGCTTCCACTTAAGTTTCAGCTTTTCTGGCCCAGTGGTTCTTGAGAAGAATACTTTTAAAGATTTTTCCTATATATTTCAATGTAAAACTTGGATTCCCTATTGTGGCTCCGCCCTACCCCCGGGGGTCATGATTTGAACAATTTAGAATCTACACTACCCCAGAATGCTTTCACATAAGTTTCAGCTTTTCTGGCCCAGTGGTTCTTGAGAAGAAGATTTTTAAAGATTTTTCTTATGTATTTCAATGTAAAACTTGGATTCCCTATTGTGGCCCTGCCCTTCCCCCGGGGGTCATGATTTGAACAATGGATGCTTCCAATTAAGTTTCAGCTTTTCTGGCCCAGCGGTTCTTGAGAAGAAGATTTTAAAGGATTTTTCTTATGTATTTCAATGTAAAATGGATTCCCTATTGTGGCTTTGACCTACCCCGAGGGGTCATGATTTGAACAATTTAGAATCTACACTACCCCAGGATGCTTCCATATAAGTTTTAGTTTTTTTGGCCTAGTTGTTCTTGAGAAGAAGATTTTTTAAGATTTTTCCTATATATTTCAATGTAAAACTTGGATTCCCTATTGTGGCCCCACCCTACCCCCGGGGGTCATGATTTAACAATTTAGAATCTACACTACCCCAGGATGCTTCCATATAAGTTTCAGCTTTTCTGGCCCAGTGGTTCTTGAGAAGAAGATTTTTAAAGATTTTTCTTAAGTATTTTAAAGAGGCTGGGGGTCAACAAATTTACCATCAGATATAACTTAATTTTTTAGATATGATATCTTAAGCTGTCAACTATCAATTTCAAACATTTTTGTTTTAAAATTTGATCATTTTTGTACATCTTTATATGGAGCTCTTCTTCTAAAGAAGATCAATATAGTCTGAAAATGGCCACAACCCCCCAGCCCTCTTAATGTAAAACTTGGATTCCCTATTGTGGCCCTGCCCTTCCCCCGGGGGTCATGATTTAAACAATGGATGCTTCCACTTAAGTTTCAGCTTTTCTGGCCCAGTGGTTCTTGAGAAGAAGATTTTTTAATGACCCCACCCTATTTTTGTCTTCTTTTAATTATCTCCCCTTGTAACAATCTAAACTCCCCTTTACCCAAGAATACTTTGTACCAAGTTTGGTTAAAACTGGCCCAGTGATTCTTGAGAAGAAGTTGAAAATGTGAAAAGTTTACAGACGGATGGACAGACGGACAGCTGGACGGACGATGGACAACGGGTGATAAGAAAAGCTCACTTGAGCTTTCAGCTCAGGTGAGCTAAAAAGTACAAATTCTGATTTTATTAGCGAGGTTTAAGAAATAACATTTGAATCAACTTTTCAGATAAGTCTGTCAACTTTTTTATTGCCCAGTATTGTTTTGGTTCGGTCTATCAATAATCTATATCGCCTAAGTGTTTGAAAATCCAATGTAAAAACAGAGGATACAAGCAATGCAATTACATAGACAATGAATTAACCTTGAAAAGAGTGGTTTACAAAATAAAATGTGAAATCTTTCAAAAGGAAAAATGTCTTTTTACTTGCATTTATAAGGTGACATAATTTTGTACTAAAATAGAGCCAGAATGCAGAATTTGGCATCCTTAATTTTCATAATTTTTCCAGGGAGGCTGTCCATAACCCCACCAGCAGGAGGAGGAATCCCCCCTCCTTGTTGCTTCACAACTAGGTATTATGTAGTTGTCCTTTAAGGACAACTATATGTAATTCATGAACAATAATTTAAATTGCTAGCACTGCTGGCTACTATGCTTTTAAAGTTACGTTGTAAGTGTTGAACCCTGCCATGCTGACAATATTTTAATGGATATTTCAGTAAATGCAATATTAACTAAGAAAACTTACTAGCAAGTTATTCACAGTTTTGAAAAGTGACATTTGAGATGTATGAAAAACCTTAACAGTGGATATGGAATAAACTTTCAACAAGAAACAAATAATTTACATTTCTTGACTAGAAAATTATTGTGAAAATCACCTTCTTGGTGATAAAGAAAATGTATTGGGGACCTGTACCCGGTCTTGGGTATTTGAGGGATCCACCATTGTGAGGAATTCCAGAAGGTCATCAGAGGTCAAAGTGGACTTGTCCTGGATTATGTCCATTAACATCTGGATTTCTGGAGAGTGCTGGCAGTCTTTCAAGATGTCAGGATTTTCTAATATCTTAAAGAAACATTTATATTTTTATTCTTTTGCTTGCACAGATCAACCAAATATAAAAAACAGTCTGCAAATTACATGTAGTACTGAACTTATTTAACAGTTTTAATATAGTCAAACCTCCTTATCTCTAACTCAATGGGTCAAGAAAAACTTGAAGATATCCGCAGATTCAAGATACTGAGGTTAAAATACATGATGAAAAAAATGTTTGGGACTTCCAATTCACTTTGACATATCCATGGATGTTGAAAATACAGAAGGTCAACCATATTTCTTTTATTATATAGTTGCTCTATTATCAAATGCAAAATAGAAGAAGATCTAACCAAGAAAAGTAACATTTATGAAAAGATTTTGAAGAGTCCCTATGTGATCAAAATTATCCATTTAGAAATCTTGAAAAGGGGGGGGGGGGGGGGGATAGACAGGGATTTATCAGTACCTTCTCAGGAGCCGAAATTTGGCCCCATTCCCTATTGAAAATGAGTTCAGTTTTTCCCAATATGGCAGTATTTTTTCCCATTAGTGGACAATATATATAATATATATAATTATTTGGGAAAAACACAGAGTAAAACTGTCAGACTGTCTGTACATCTATTTAACTCATTTAGGAAAGCTACAGTCATAACGCTTGTTTGAAAAACATGTAAAAAACATCGCCAACTTTTAAACCGAATTTCCTCCGTTTTTCTGAAAATGGTGATATTGTGTAATTATACAGATTTATTAAGTTATTTCCACCTACTCTATTGATCTACGGGTGAATGGAAGGGACTGAAGGTATTATTTCAGATAGAGAAATATATTTTCAATGCATTAATACATATTAAAAGAGGACTTTGAGAAAATTTGTACTTAGTATAATTTTTTGCAGGAGGTTTATAATCTCCAGAAACAGATTCTATAATGACCTAAATTGGAATCTCATACACACATGTACTACCCTAAGTTGTATAAATACTTTATACTTATTGAAGTCGATTTTACTTTTATTAGTCTATTATATTTTCATAATTGAACCTGTATGATGACGTTGGATCATATTTAATTATCTGTTTAATTGCCCAAATTAGATATCATGTAAAATTAATTACACCTGAATACATGTTTTACGCAACATTTTTAATTTTTCCCAATTTCATCAAATAGCCGATAATTTTTTCCCAATTCCCCAAAAATGGCGTTTCCCAAATTAGGCTGATAAATCCCTGATAGAACATTTTTACTTTACCTGCGATAACATAGGCTCAGGAAAATAACTCTGAATCTTGTCCACAAACCATTTACACATTTTCTGCAAGGCTTCATGAAATTCTTTTCCATACTCTTCGGAGTACTCCTCACGGAAGTAAGCCTCAGCTCGTCTGCTATTGGCAAGTAGAGGGAGGTAAAATTTTCGGAAGTTTGTGTGAACCATGTGTAGGCGAGACAATTGCTGAGGACACTAATAGAAATAAAATGATTTAATTAATGCAATACATGTATCTGAAGAAAAAAACCCAGAACAAAACAAACAAAAAATATAGGTCATGGGTCTCTTGTTATGGTAGGCCTACTCATGGTCTGTGAAAAACGTTTGCAGAAGTACAAAGCCAAGAACTTCTCATGAATAATTCATCTTGGTTCATTTATGTCAGTTTACTATTTAAGGCTGTTCCTAAGGAAGACAAAGCTTTTTTGAAAAAAAGCTATACTTGCTATATTTAGAATGTAAAAGCATGCACCACTTTTTAAAATGCATTTTTGATAGGGATGTCTTTATAAAATTATGTTTCCGTTTGATTTAATACTTTACATGTCTTGTACATGTAACACAGTATAAGTTTTATAGAAGCTAGGAGTACAATAAGTACCCCATTTTTCTAGGAGCTCGAAGTGCGTAATAGGATGAATGCAATATTTCATCCTCGCAAGCCAGGGGTCCTGAGTCAACACATTGCGTTGGACCCCTGGCATATTTCATTCAATATTCGTGGGCTTGCTTCTCTCATTGAGAACCACCAATCAAATTAAAGCTTTCATAAATAGTTAGATAAGGATTCAGTTGACACCTCAAATGCATGTGATACAAGTTGTTTATCATAGTATGGCTTAATGTAATTGGTTGAGAGATAAGTAAAACTATCAAGATTTGTAATTTTTCCAAAAGACGTCGCTACAGTCAGCCCACAAATATTGAATAAAATATGCCAGGGGTCCGACAACGTGTTGACTCAGGACCCCTGGCTTGCGAGGATGGCAATATTTGGAAGTTCTTGGAGATTCACTGTTTACTGTATTGTATTGTGCAAATATACAAACCACTCCTGGGAATTCTGGCTTCCTACGGGGGAAGTATTTCATAAGCTTTGTCAGGCAGTCCTTGTCTTTATTTTTCAGCATTTGTAGCAAAATCTAAGGAAAAAAAAAATTCAGGAATCATCACTGTCTATCATGCACATATGTTACACCCACATAATTTTTGCACATGAAAATATTGTGAATTTTAAATTCCAATGCTTCCTTACAGAATTTTAAATAACTAATTTTTTTAAATATCAGTCAATGACAGTCATCATAAACAATTATCAGAATTTGAATCTCTTTTGATTTCATGATATACAAAGTGAAAACACAGGCTTTACCAGTACTCACCTGCATTTTTAGGCCTACAACTAGTTTAGAATAGAGTTTAAACACAACTGCCTCGGGACAAGACATATAAATGAAGTCCATAAGATCTACTGCAAGCTCTAATTTGATTGGATCTGACAGGAAATTGTGGACAATGTCGTGTAATGTACCGCAAGCCAATTGGACATCAGATAATCCCAGTGCAGACAACTGTCCATCAAATTGGGACAACACAGCTAGATAAAAGTATTAAAATATCATATATAGTAGATAGCTTTACAGGGTGTCATTCAATGTTAAGCCTTTCAAAATTTAAGATGTCCCCAGTACTAAATAATCTTTTTCTACTTTCTCTTACCTAGCTTGAAAACCATATAATAAATTTACAATTCTTTGAGTTATAGATAACTTTTCAAGTTAACTCCCTGGTCCTATAAATGTTAGATTCAGAATCCTAAAACTGACAGTTTCACAGTGCACATCAAAACCATGTTGTTGTTTTTTTTGTTGCTTTTTTTTTTTTAAAGATGCTAGTACCGGTAATATTTTTCAGGTTTCCTCAGTTAAATATTGATATTGTATTCAAAAATAGTAAAAGGTTTTTTTATTTCTAAATTTGTATACTTCAAATTCTCCCTTTGACCTAAAAATTACAGATTTACTGCTCAGTTCTGTATAGTTACTTTATGATAGATGCAATTTTAGCAAGAGTTATTTCCCGTTGGTCACCATACTGGAGGTCAACAAGCCCAGATTCCTTCATTATTCCAACCAATTTAATCTTGTGGTACTGGGCAAAATGGGGAAGATTAACACAAAATTTCTTACAAATGTGTTAACAAAAGCTTTCTTTAATTCATAATTATAGTATTTTAGAGATGTCGGCCCTTATATTTCTGCCATGTATACATGTTTAAAATTGGTTTCTCAAAGAGGAAAGTTCACTAGTTTGACCTTCATGATGGTGGCCAAAGGAAATAACTTGAAGGGAAAATAATTCATACAAAAACTATCCATTTTGCAGACCCACAAAATGCCCCCTTCCACAAATGTACAGTTCATCTATATCAAAATTTCTCGAAAGGAAACCAGAATTATCAAACATCCAGAAATAAATTTTGATGATATATGTACGAAAGAACTTATGAAAAAAAAAAAATCAGAATAAATGACTGTGAAAAAAAAAAATCAGAATAAATGACTGTATTTCATAATTTATTAATTAATTTGCAGATAATTTACCTTTCCTTATGTACATGCACTATAGATTCTGATAATTTTCACAATAATTCAGACATTTTCTTTGAACATTTTCATAATAAATTAATCCATTAATTACTGTAGTATATCCACTAACAAATAAGTTTAACTACAGAATTTGAACTTTGTGAACAACATTTAGACATGTTAAGTGAACACATACTCGAAATTTAATTCATCAATAAATTATATGCAATATGGTTTGGGCCATGGATATCAGCCTGGATAGCTAAGAAAGTAGAGCCCCTGATTACCGATACAGGGATCGCAGGTTTTGATTCCTGGACCAGCCATACATTTTCCCCTTCCCCATTACAGATATGGTGCCGTGACTAGGATAAATTATGTAACAGGAAAGGAAAACATGTATGGCTGGACCAGGAATCAAACCTGGGACCTCTGCATCACTAGTCAGGCCAATATCCAGAGTTTTGGAAAACTTTTTCAGATAGCCAGTCATTCAGACTGGCAAGAAGACAAAATAAGCCAGTCTGGAAAGATTTTAGCAGGTGCACCATTTTGACAGGTGACAATGCTAATTCAGTATAGTATACATAATTTTGTTGAAACATTTATGCAGTGGGGAATTTATATCAACCTAGAAAATGTATCTGAGAAATTTGAAGAAATTCTGTGCATCGATAATAAATATATCAATATGATCAATGAAAAACTGAAATCTGGGACAGTTGGGAGTACTAAATTTAAATGCTTGCCCCAACTGTGTTTGAATTCTTTCTGTTCAGATTTTTCATATTTAGCTTTGTCTTCATCTGTTACTTCATATGTTTTTTACCTGGTTTTATGTATAAAGAAAAAGTATTGCGCAAATGTACTTTATATTTTGTATGGTAATTGGGCTGGAAAAGTGCCGATAATAACAGGAAAAACAAAACAAAACAAAACCAAAAAAAAAGGCCAGTCATTTGGACTGACATTGATGGCGTTTTTACTGGTCACATGCATTTTTAATTGGTTTTGTTGGCATGACCGGCAGTTTCCCACAACTCTAAATATTCATGGCCCAAACCATAACATTTGCATCAGAGTCACAATGTTATACAAATCACAAGCATTAAAATGTGCCATATTGATTTTCAACATTAATTTTCAAACAAAAAATAGCAAATTATGATTATGTCTATAAACAATGCATGTGAATCAACTTGCAGTTGAATCAAACAAAGTTCTAAAAGATAATTTTGATTTTTTACCATAACCTTTTCTTTATTATGTATAAAACAGTTGCGATGAAAAAAACTAGAGCAAGAAATATCAGAAATTTGTCTGTTAGTTGTCTACGATTGTATTTTGACAGCAATTTTTGTGAAGTTCCTATATGAGCTCCCATATTCTTGAATTCCTCCATTGTATCCGTAACTGTATTAGAACTCTTTATCAATGTCCCTTTCGTAGCCTCACTTTGACTCAGTTGCTCTGTCAATTTCTTGTTGATGCCATATAAACTCTCCGTAATTGCATTTGCTTGTTTGACTAAGCTTTCTTTATTTCGTCCCCTCTGTCTTGCACCTGAACCTCTAGAGGTCATCAACTTTTCAGTATTTGCCTTCTCCATGGCAAATTTGGCTGTTAAATTGGACTGCCTGAGGGAAGTGATGATGTTCGACAATCTGTCTTTGTGGTTTTCCACATCTCGCATGATAACTTGTCGGTCTTCCTCCAGATCTGCTTCGATTCCAAAAACCTCCAAGTCCTCAATTTTCTTCTGAAGTTTTCCAATTTTCAGCCTCGCATCTTTGTTCAGATCCTCTAAAATGTCTTCCGTCAAAGCACATTCACGAATGTCCTGGATAAGAGCTTTTATTTCTAAATCAAGCTTCACAATTTCTTGAAGACAAGACCTCACTTCGGAATCTTCGGCAGCCATTTTCGTTGATATGTCAATGTTATACCAATAAAAACTCTAATTTAAAATTCACAAATAAAGAAAGAAAGATGTTTGAGTTAGAGTTGTTGATTTAAACATGAAATACAGTACCCTCTGTCACTGTTTTTAGCTGGTTCCTCACAGAGTATTCTAAAATCCACTTTATTTCTTCCATGCTTTATCTGAAATAGGAATTATGAAATAAATTACTCTTATTCTCATTTTAATGATAAATAATATATTTTTACTACAAACATAGACATAGTTTGCTTTATATCTATGAAACAAGCTACAAATAATACAATACACGTTCAACAGATGTTCAAATGATTGACGCCGGTTCGTAGGGACACCAGAAAAGCCCATATCATTCATCAACTCGATATCGTTATGAGACCAAAAAAACCCACATAATCAATTGGTTTAAATATGGTCGTTTAAGTAAGATGTTTCACCTTTCATGCATCCAATCTGAATGATTATGATCAAGTACAGCTCATTCAAGCTTGCATATTCTCCAGCTCTTTCTCCACGCAAGCACTGAGGATAAGTCTAAAAACCTCGATTTGAATAACACACTTGTGCGATTATTTTAGATTACTACTAACATTTGAGAATATGCATATATATATCAAAATACACAATATGGTAAGCTATTAAACAGTAAATTTGATTAACAAACAAAAGTTGCTATAATATACTTCATTTTATTTTTATTTTGTTTTAAAAACTTTCTTTTTTCCGCAAAGAGTTGGGACTACGATCCCGATCAATAAGAATTTAATACATATTTCATTTTTCCAAATATGGCAATATAATCATTAAATTATCTGTCAGAGCACAAACGTAACATAACGGTTATCTATGATAGAAAAAAGATTGTTCTGAATGATGCACGTTAAAACCAAATGGACACTTTCTAGCCTTTTCATTATCATTTTTAGATTTAACGCGCACTACGTACACATGTGTCAACTCACAAGCAGTATAAGAGTTCTTATAAAAAAAAAGAGTTCTCAAACAGACTCACGTATAAAATAGTTCTTTAAAAAGTGGGCCATTTTTGCTCTTGTACAAAATATTTTTTAAATATGAATTTGTGGTTATTAATATTATCATTACTGATATATGAAATATGGAGATAACGAACAGTATATAATCAAGTTAAAAAGTTTTTTTTAATGTAAACTAAGTACATATGTTGGAATTATGTCGCCAGTTAACAAACGCAGAAGACAGGTGGGAAAATTGGGCAAAAAGGAAAAAAAGAGGGAGAGAACATAGAAAGAAAATTTTCACTAGGGATATGTAAGCCATGCAATGATAAAACTGTGTGTCTTTTTCAAAAGTTTATTGATTTCCCGTGATCGTATAGAATTTTAGTTATAAGTCCTGGATATTCATCAGAATAGACTAACGCACTTGTTATGACAAAAGTTTTTAAGATTAGTCCTAAATATTCAAGAAGAACTGAGAACGAGAACCCTAAAGTAATAAAAGAAAAGTCCAAAAGATAGGTGGCAAAAGTAGATTCAAAACATGCCGTTTACCTTCAAAGTATTTTATGCCCAGGGGGTGTTCATGGTCCCGGTGTCGTATGATGAGACTTACCCCGAAAGGCTGGCTATAAAGTGAGACCCCCCCCCCCCGGAAGACTGGCTATATAGGGAGGCTTCTCCCGGGGAAGTCTCACTATATAGCCAGTCTTCGGGGGAGAAGTCTCACTATATAGCCAGTCTCCCCCCCCCCATTCATAGCGAGATTTCACCCTCAAATATAGTTTCCGGAATAATATTTTTTTTAATTGTAAAACAATGTTTTTTTATGCTAAATTTTCAGTGTTTGAAAAAAAAAGTTGAAAACGACACATGTTCATGCAATCTAATCACTGAATATTTTTAAGTAAAAAAAAAAATTCAATTAAATTTGCCTGATATTCACAAATTAACTATATGAATATACTATGCGGTAGAGCTACATGTATAATACAAACTCTGTTCGTGCGATAATTAAAATTGACGATTATTCATAAATTCCCCTTTCTTCTTTTTTCTTTGTTTTTTTTACGTGTGTCGAGTCTTCAGTTGTTTATATGTACATGTTTATAAATAATGCTTATTTAAAAAAAGAAGCTCAAGTGTATAAATATTGAAAAGAAAGTTTTGTTTTGAATAATTAAGAAGATAAGAAACCCCCCCCCCCCCCAATATTAACGTGTAAGGTTATCTCTCTTTAGTCATGTCTTACAAGAAATCCTATATCGTTAAAATGATATTGTTCTGCGGACCTGCTGTGGTGGAGGTTTGTCCCGAGATACAGTTAGATTATTCTAATTAAAGAAATCCGTCCCAACAAATTCTTAAATCTATCCTAAATGTGACCAAAATGTTGTCCTAGAAGGTACTCATGAATGTAAAATAAGGGGGGGGGGGAGTCTTGCACAAACGTTTAAAAATATATAATCCTACTCAATTAAAACATCTATAACAGAAAAAATGACAGTAAACTGAGACAAGGAGGGGGAGGGATTAACCTGTTTGATAAGGGAAAAAAAAAGACTTTACATATGGTGAGTTGTAACGTGTTCGAGGAAATATAAAGAGTAGAGAGCGACATGCAAGTGAGAAGTGACTATTACATTTTAAAGAATTCGAATGGGGCAAAAAAAAAAAGTGCAGCCACATTTTAAAAAGTCAGCACATTTTCTAAAGAAGATTTTATATTCTTGGCTTAAAAACAGGGAAAAAAATATCAAGCAACTTTTGCACCATGACAAAAAGAAATCTTAATTGAGAAACATACATAATGAAGAAGCTGATGTCAATATGTTTCTATATTTGCATAAGAAATTAATTGTAAATTCACCAGAGTTATAACATCTAAGGTGTACATATTGTACTTCATCATGATATTGAACAATTCTTGTACAAGATGTAAAAGGATGGTCCTATCTTTTATCACCTGTCTAATCCCAGAAGTTTAGTACTCAAAAACGAACTTGACCTTGGATCACGTGATCATGCCCCATTAGTTCCAAATATTGGCACCTGTCTTGAAAATGCAGATTTCGTATGTAGGGATTTGGCTCGGCAACAAGCCCATACTAAATTCAGAACAGTTTACAAAACATTTTGATATGTTGATACAAGCAATTGGAATATTGAGCCAAAAGAAAACTCAGCCTTGCTATAGTTTACCTCCCAAAATTTGATTCGGTCAAACTATTTAACCACACCTGTGTGGTAAATTGTCGGGGTCTCATTTCCTTGGAGAATCGAGCCGGGGGAGGGGGACCGGACCCCATTACCGAGATTTTCAGTTATTAGATTACCAAAATGACCTTGGACCCCTCCCTTCTAGGACTTCTCAGACTCCTCTGAAGTTGGTACCACTTACAGGTGCTTGATGACAGATAGCTTTAATCCAGCTGACAATCTATTTTTTTAATACCCCCAGTTTTGTCTCTCGGATTAAAGAGATCCAAAGGCCTGTGATATGAAGGAAAGTGGCCTGTCCATCAGAAGTGTTACCCCCTCCCCCTTCCCCGCCCCATGAAATAGATTTTTATCAGCGTTTTCAAAAGCGCTGTCGGAGAAGTTTACTCCCATTAAAGCAGAACATTCCTCTGATAAGAGAGATATAATAAGACCATTTACATACATGACTACATGTACATATATAGTCAGTTCCTTCAAAAAGACAATAAGACGCAAACATTCTTTTGTCAGTTTTTTGATAGACCTTTTTAATAAAATTTGACTTAAAACTTTTGCATCCAGTTTTTTTCCACTGTTACAAACCGTGATATTTCTATCTTTTTAAAATTAATCTAAAACGTACACTAATTTATAATGTTGCATTTGTAGATTTTTCATTATAAGTACATTTTTTTCCTAAGAAAAGTTTAAGAGAAAGACAACTCTTTTTGAATGATGCATTTTTTTTTTCAAGCACAGATAACAATGTGTTGTTCTGATTAAAAAAGCAACGCTTCGTTATGTTTTCTACAAAAGTCTATGAGGATCAAACTACGGTAAAAAAAAAAAATTAAAAGGCGTTATAACGCCTTTTCAAAGGGCGTTATAACGCGGAAAAAGGCGTAATTACGCCTTTCTAAAAGGCGTTATTATGCCTTTGTCTTCCTTGTTATCAATTAAACCTATTTAAATAAGCTACAAAAAAGGACAAAGGAATGGTCAAGAACAATGTTTTAGTAAGGGATTATTTCTGTTTCAGAATTTGCCTGCAAAAATCTAAGGAAAATGTATCTAAACAAAAATAAGAAATTTCATCTGAATAATCTTAGCTATTATAATTTCTCTTCTTAATTTTGTAAATATAATCATTTATTCCTTAATAATTTTGGTATTACATGTATGTGTTTACAAAAATAATTAAAATTTCTGTGAATGAAATTGTGGAATTAAATTTAAACGCAATATTAAATAATTAAAATATTAAATTTTGAATAACAAAAATGTACTCAAAAGTTTTGAATTTACCGGGTGGCAGTAAATACAAAATTTACAACATGACAACGCCTTTCTAAAAGGCGTTATTATGCCTTTCCAAAAGGCGTTATTACGCCTTTTAAAAAGGCATTATTACGCCTTTCCAAAAGGCGTTATTACGCCTCTTATTTTTCAACACATGACTTACTTAGCCCACCCTGGGGGCTGATTATAGTTAGATTTCCAGGAAAAAAGATTTTTAAATGTGTAAAATATTTTCAGTGTTAAACCAACTTAGTCCTTCTCTGATGCCAGACACCTAGAGCTACCAAGGTGCATGAATTTCAGAAATTTGGTTGAAGGCTAATTGCTCATTATACCAATGCAAATAGTTTGCCTGTTTTTTTTCCAAGAGGAGAGAAAAATATTTCAAATTTGACATGAAATATTTCAAATTTACATGGATAGCAAAGCCCAAAGCTGGCTCTGCCTATATCCTGGATTTTCAAAAGTAGAGTGTTGACTTCTCTTAATACGCATGCAAATAGCTGTCTGCGAGATGTGCAGGAATATAGAAAATACTATAATTTATAATATAATTTATAATATTAAAACTATAATCTAAATATTTCATTAATAAAGATGGCTTTGGTTCAATCTTTCATATATTCATTATTTTAAAATAACGCCTTTCCATTTTCGGACATAACTCCTTTTCAAACAGGCCGGTAGTACGAATGCGAGTGGTGGTGGTGGGGGGGACTCCCCATCCCACTTTTTTTTAGTCTTGCTATAGTTTAAATATAAAAAATCATTTATTGATTGCTTGGTCCCTTAACATTTTGTTGCAGTATGGTTAAACTCGGGCGAGTCATTGCATTTAAAAAAAGTTTATCGAAAAGTTAGAAAAAGATTCCCCACAAGTTTAGGAAGCTTATTTTTTTCGGGGGGGGGGGGGTTCTTGTTTTTTTGTTTGCTTGTCAATTTTATGGGAGGCTGCCCCCCCCCCCCCCCCTTCAAAAGCACGGGCCTGTCAAAGACATAATAATGGCTCTTCAAAAGGCATAATAACGCCTTTTGGA